ACAATCTCATTAACAATCTCATCTGTTAGGTCATCTCTAATCCACTCTCATATCTTTTATTAAATTTAAATTTGATAAAAATTTAATAAAAATGGTGCTCCAACTATTTTATTAAATTGATATCAAATGAAGGGAGAGATATATTTTTCGTCAAATTAAGGGAGCGTTTAACATTTTATCAAATTTTGTAGGTAGCCGTTGGTGAACAATTGGGTGGACGATCGACTGGACAACCAACCAGACGACCGAATTTTGGCCTTATGAACTGAAAATTTACTCTAGGCCATATGACTGGTCGAATTTGATGAAAATCTTAGTTTTCCATTGAAGTGTGTTAATGTAAATTGTGTAAGTGTAAATGTAAATTACCACTACCACTCACTCCACCTACCACCTCCACTACCACCCACTCCACCTACCACCTCCACTACCACCTACACCTACTCCTCACCTACTCCCAAATCCTCTCCTATATAATAGGAATCCTTGTAATATACATAATACACAAAAAATCAATCAATAATATACATCAATTTATTTTAACATGGTATCAGAGCAAGGTTAAGAATTTAGTATTTTTCGCTTCACCGGCGGGCGGCAACCTCGCCTTGGCCGCCCGCTGGACCTCAACCAATTTGAGACCTCCATCAACTCGCAAGACCTCTCTCACACTTTCTCTCTCTACTTTCTCTTTCTAGAACAAGCCTGGGCTCGAAACCCTGCGTTCGTTTTTTTTGCATTTCTGTTCTTCATAGTGTCCGGCGTCGGAGCTCAGTCTCCGGCTTCTTCTCCGACCAAATCTCCGGCGCTTTCGAAGCCTAAATCTCTAACAAGAAGAAGGCTCTAACCAAATCTTCGGCGCTTTCGCTGTTGCTCTTCCGGTGCCGGCTTCTTCTCCTCCGGCGTCATCTCTGCTGCCATCGCCCATGTTTTTGCTCTTTTCGTCGCCGTCTCGATCGGAGCTAACATCTCCGGCGGCCACGTCAACCCCGCCGTCACCTTCGGCGCCTTCATCGGCGGCCACATCACCCTCCTACGTGGCATCCTCTACTGGATTGCCCAGTTGCTTGGTTCCATCGTGGCTTGTTTATTACTCAAGTTTTCCACCAATGGCATGTCAACATCGGTGTCTGGAAGGCTTCAAGAACTCTATCAGCGACCCACAATCCAAACTCTCCTCATGGATCTTCACCAACACCTCCGTCACCTTCATATGCAAGCAGCTCGTCGGCGTTTCCTGCTGGAATGAGAAAGAGAACCGCCTCATCAAAATAATATATATTATCCCAACTTTCATCATCAACTAAGCCAGACAGTCAGATCTTGCCTCTCCAAACATGGAGCCCTCACTATTCACATCATGAAAGAGAGTGCATTAAAGACTCCACTCACGCACTCTTGTTCCCCACTCATATTTTTTTTATATTTCTTTTACTCCTCCTTTTGACAAGGACACGAACCACACACTGTTTTGCACCCCCACTTCCCTCTTTTCTTTATTTATTTTACACATTTTTTTTTCCATGACAAGTGAGCCAACTCTTTTCAAATAATTTTCCATTCCATTTTTATTTTTATTTTTTTTAACAACAACAAAAAAAAAAAAAAAAAAAAAAAAAATTTTTTCCATTGGAGCACATCAGTGTGAAAATGAGAAAAACTACGAAGCTGGGATCTTTTGTAGGAGATAAGGTTGAGTGGGGGAACAGGTGTCAACATTCTGGTGGTTCCCCTCGTTTAGTGCCGACCGGCCAAAAATATATGCCGACCGGCCAGGAAAATATGCCGACCGGCCATTTCAGTTTGCCGACAAAACAGACATACGGCCGGTAGCCACTCCTTCCGCCACCTACCTGCTAGCCTCCGTGTTTCCCACTCCACTGGGCACGATCACTACTCCCTACTCCTCCACTGCAGTATATGGCGGCCCTCCAAATCGAAACATCACGGTGGCCTTCCGCTTCAGCTCCTTGTTTTCTGCCCTTAGCACGCTTATCTCTGCTAGCACATCCTTATACATGCGTTGGAGCAGAGCCAGCTGGGCGTTTAGCTGCTGCACCTCATTTGTCCTACTCTGCAGCCGGTGCGACAAGTTTGTGACCGCCGTCATACTTTCCACACATACCTTCAAAGTATACTGATTGGCCTCCACATCCGACAGCACTGCCATTCTTTGCTCCACAGACCGCATCGGAAAGTTCAACGGAGTATACCCAGCGGTGTTTGGTTGAGGTTCCAGTGCCACCGCACCAGTTCTCTCTCTCGTTGACTCGTTGAGGTCGGGAAAGAGGGTGAGCAGTCCACGGGAAGACGAGGACGAGGCCATTTTTCTGGGCAACAGAGTGTTACAGCGTATTACAGAGTTTCTCTCTCAGCACAACAGTGTTACAGCCTCTCTCTCTCAGCACAACGAAGAGTTTTACAGAGGATTTCGCAGTTTTTTTGCTTCTGCCTCGGCCTCAGGCTCTGTCATGGTTAAATAGCCGAGGCAGCCACGCGCATCGCGCGCCTCTTTTGGTTGGGTTGGCTTTTTTTCGATGGTGCTACATACATTAATTAGTGTATTAATTAATTTTTTTTAAAAAAAAAAAGAAATTCACCATTTTGTTTAAAACATAATTCACCAACTATTCAAAGTGTGTCTTAAAAAATAAAAATAAAAATACCAAATTCACCAATTTGTGCCTTTCTCAGACAAAATTCACCAATAGAAAATTCACCAATAGAGAAACAGAGAGTTGGGAGACAGGGGTTCTTGTGGTGAGAGTGGGGGAGGCGAGAGTACTGAAGAGAGAGATGGAAGAATAGAGACGAACAGAGATAGAGAGAGCAAATAGGGATTTGTTCAGTACCAATCAACCCCTCAGATTAAGTGGGATATTTTGTTCATTAAATAAATAAATAAAAACAAAAGTGAAACAATGAAGGAGACCTCTATCCTTGGTCTTCATCAAACACGTATGATTTCCATCAAAATCTCAATTATTGCGCTCCAAATTCATGACTTTTGAGAAAGGTCTCCATTTGGACAGGCTCATCTCCTTTTGAGAAAGGGGGACCAATTGAAGAGTCCTAAGCCTCATCTCCTTTTCAACCACCGGACCCCATCATTTTCTCTGTATAACCTTCCATGTCAAGTCTTCGGTTACAAGTAACGAAGTCCTCAACCTATTCATTTCTTTGATATTTCACAGTGTCATTCAACACTACTACTACTGCTTCCACTCCATCTCATCTCATCTTTATTTTCTCATCTTCATTCAAGTCTGTTAATGTAAATTGTGTAAATGTAAATTACCACTACCACTCACTCCACCTACCACCTCCACTACCACCCACTCCACCTACCACCTCCACTACCACCTACACCTACTCCTCACCTACTCCCAAATCCTCTCCTATATAATAGGAATCCTTGTAATATACATAATACACAAAAAATCAATCAATAATATACATCAATTTATTTTAACAGTATTAGATCAAATCAAACTTTTCATCAATTTTTTACTCAAATTTAATGGAAGATTTGATAAATAATTAGAGATGTTCTAACAACACCAAATGGTTGGCAGACTCAGCAGCAGAGCAAGCTAAAGCTTGGAAAAATCGTTGGAATTATAGCTTCAATTCAAACTCAAATTTGGATCCTCTGTCCAGTTTCTTTGTGTCATCAAAAGAAAAATAGAAAAAAATGTGTGTAATATAATTATATTTCATTTATATATATATATATATATGTATTTCATTTTCCTTTATCTTTTCAAATCTTTACTAAAAATTTATAATTCAACCAGATCGTTAATGAAAAAATGACAAGTGGCTGAAAATGAAACCAAACACGTCGCTAATGATAGAATGAGAAGTGGCTGAAAATGAATTAAATGGTAGAGATCAAGCTACGACTAGGACAATGATGCTACAAGTCCAAGAAAATGATGGAAATTGACTTTTTGAATCCACCTTAGCAACTGCATTAATTTATCGGAAAAAGATAGAGAGCGAGAGATGATAGTTTAGCTTTTTTTTTTTTTTCTTTTTTTTGTCTCTTTTTTTAGTACTTAAAAATAACGAAAAAATTGACATTTTCATTGAAAAAGTCGACACTACCAAAATTTATCCACTAACAGGGCTTGGCGTAATTTGGGTAACTGTTAATACTAACATCATTTTCAATTTAGACTTAAATCTTTTTATTAAATTTAAATTTAATAAAAATAATATTTCAACAGTTTCCTCAAATCTTATTATATAAGAAAAATGGACTTTTTAGTGAGAAATCATTCTAATTTTCTTGATTTTCTTAATTTTAAAAAATTAAAAAAATTTCTATTGACTAACTTTTATTTGATAATCTCACATCGGGAAAATAATAAAAAAAAATGAGTTGTTTTACTCATATAAAGTAAATCTTATACTCACATCCCATTTAGTGAAGAGCCTTGTGAGAATTCTAATTTTCTTGATTTTTTTAATTTCAAACAATTAAGAAAATCTTCATTGGCTAACTTTTATTTGATAATCCACATCAGGAAAAGAATAAAAAAATTGAGTTATTTTACTCATATAAAGTAACCTTATATTCTCATCCCATTTGGTGAAAAGCCTTGTGAGAGTTTCAATATCTCATATTAATTTTCTTGATTTTCTTAATTTTAAACAATTAAGAAAATCTCCATTGGCTAACTTTTATTTGATAATCCCATATCGAAAAAAAAAGAGTTGTTTTACTGATAAAAAGTGAATCTTATACTCCAAATCCTCATTCTAATTTTTTTGATTTTCTTAATTTAAAACAATTAAGAAAATTTTCAGTGGCTAACTTTTATTTAATAATCCCACATCGGCAAAAGAAGGGAAAAAAATGGTTATTTTAATCATATAAAGTAAATCTTATACTCTCATCCCATTAGTGAGGAGGCATGTGAGAATTCTAATTTTCTTAATTTTAAACAATTAAAAAAAATCTCCATTGACTTACTTTTATTTGACAATCCCACATCAGGAAAAGAAGGAAAAAATGAATTGTTTTACTTATATAAAGTAAATTTTATACTCACATCCCATTTAGTGAGGAGCTTTGTGAGAGTTTCAATATCTCATATTAATTTTCTTGATTTTCTTAATTTTAAACAATTAAGAAAATCTCCATTGGTTAACTTTTATTTGATAATCCCACATCGGGAAAATAAGGGGAAAAAATGAGTTATTTTACTCATGTAAAGTGAATCTTGTACTCTCATCCCATTTAATATTGTAGTGTTGTGCATGCTTCAATTCAATATAGTTTAAATTTTAAAAGTTTTAATTAATTAATTATGACCTAACCGATTAGGCTAAATCATTTTTGATTTGATTGATTCCTTAGTTTAATCGCAATTTTAGCGATTTTATCAAAATATATAGATTAAATTTGAAATAAACTAATTTATATAAGCAAAAGGAGATTTTTAATGAGAAACCCTACAATTAATATCTCATACTCATTTTTTTTATTTTCTTAATTTTAAACAATTAAGAAAATTCCCATTGGCTAGCTTTCATTTAACTTTTATTTTACAATCCCACATAGACGTTTTGATTTTAAAAATAATTTTGTATGAAATTTTAAAACTCTCTATAACGCCCCCAAAATAATTATACAATCTAACTCCAAACAACTAATGCCAAGTGATATAAGTGAAATAAGAAGCTTTCATTAATCTGAGTTAGTATACAAAAGAAGACATGCGATATACATTCATAAATAGTTCATTATGAATTTACAACATGTGTTACAAGATGGTTAAAAAGAATAGAAAGCTAAACATATATTCATATGCCCTAAAGGCTTACATCTTTCCCAAGACCGTACTTGGTTACAACAAAATGAGTTAGAAGCTCAATACAAATAAAGCCCTAAGCTTGTTGTAGACACTCCATTTTTTACGGCCCTTACGACTTGGACAGCATTGCATGCACACCCAATGATGAGTTTATATGCTCGCCAAGTGCTCGAAGTCCTCAGCGGAACGCCACAGCTTTGAGCCTTTCAAACCCTACACCCTTTTTGCATCATTCCTGGACCAGGCCTTAGTCCTTTAAGCCTGCAGCTTTTGGTGGCTTGCCGGCTACCTTTTGAGGCTGCCGACCATCACTTTTGGGCTGCCGGCCACTGAAGTGGCTTGCCGGCTACCATTGATGGCCAACCGGCCACTAGCCCTACACGTGGAGATAGATTTTGCAGATATTTTATGCCAGTTGTGCCAGTTGTTTGTATAGAT